CAGGTGCTGTGCCGCTGAGCTAAATCCCCAGCCCCAATGCAGGTATTTTGTTTATCCTATCTTAGGATGCTGAACAGTAATTGTCATGTTTCTTACATATTTCTCGCTTTGGTCAGTTAATCTAAGACTTAGCCAAGTTTTCAAAGTTCTTCAAGACTTTCTGCCTCTTTGACAAAACAAGGAACTTAGTTCATCTTGCAAAAGTTCCAGTCTAAGGTGGAACAGAATATAAAAGAATGATAAGCAAGCAGGGTGAAGAAAGTTTTTTCAATTATCTAATGCTGCCAGGTGCTATGGAATTATGAAGTCCATTAAGTCCATTTTCCAAATAGGGCATAACTTATTTTTTATACAATATTGCTATTCTAACAAAGCCTTGGTGCAGTTCAGGTCCATTTTCTTTGGAACCTGTAAATCACAGTGTACTAAGTTCAGTTTCATTCCAGTAGAAATTCGTAAGTAACCAAAACATTCCTAGACAACTCGTGGCCTTCTTGTGTACAATTTATTTAACAGAATTCCAGCCTAGGTTCTGAGAGGTTAGACTAAGTTGTTGTTTTGTTTTTTTTTTTTTTAAGTTTTGTGAGATGGTCTTGCTATGTAGCTCAGACTGGCCTTAAACTCACCATGTAGCCTAGGCTGGCCTCAAACTCTCAGCAATCCTGCCTCAGCCTCCCAAGTGCTGGAATTACAGAGACTAAGGTAATACTGTGTCATAATTTGAGTTTCTTAAATTTTAACGTTATGATGAGGTAATAGAATGGATGATAAAAATACACAGGAATAGGGCTGAGGTGGTAACTCAGTGGTAGAGCACTTGTCTAGCATGTGCAAGGGCCCTACATTCAATCTCCAGTATCAAAAAAACCCAAAACACCTGGAGGTATCATTTGTTTTTTTGTTTTGCTTTTTGGTAGCAGGACTCAAACTCAACCTTGCGCATGCCAGGCAGGCACTCTGCTGCTTGAGCTATATCCCCGGCCCATTATCATTTGTTGACTATGTCTTCAGCAAATTCACTAAAGTATTTTAAGGTCTTTCGTGTTATGAATATCAAAGGTTACAGTGTTCTATCCATTACTGTCTTTTTTTCTTTCATTCTGTTTGTTTTGAGACAATCTTGGTTATATAGTCCAGGCTAGCCTCCAGCATTTTTTTTTTTTTTTTTGGTCTTTTTGAGACAGGGTTTTGCTATGCAGTTCAGGCTGGCCTTGAACTCATTTTGTAGCCCAGGTTGGTCTCAAACTTGCAACAATCCTGCCTCAGCCTCCCGAGTGCTGGGATTACAGGCATGTGCCACCCTGCCCGGCTCTTTTTTTTTTTTTGAGACAAAGTCTCACTGTGTAGTCCAGTCTGACTTTGAATTTAAGGAGATCTTCCTGCCTGAGTCTCCCAAGTGCCGGGATCACCAGTGTGCACCACCACACCCAGACAGGCCTCCAACTTTTGATCTTCCTACCTCAGCCTCTCAAGTACTGGTGCTATAGGCATGTCACCTGCCCCAGTGTTGTTATTTTTGTACAGTTTTTGATGGTCAGTGACCTTGATTCATTAAAGTTCATACTCCATGCCTGAAAAGGATAGTCTGATGCCAGTTTCTGTTGTAGAAAGTGTTTCTGGCTTTCATAAGATGTTGGTTGGTGATACTGCTTAGACTGAGAGAAGCAAGGTGGTAGAGACATACAAAGCTACTGTACTGCTAACTTCCTTTGAAGACCAGCAAGGAAAAGAATTAGGAAAATATTTCATATCCAACAAAGAAAAGTCAGGCAGTTTCCAGGAAAATCCAGTATTATTTTGGCAAAGTAGTAAATGCCTGAGTATTATGAAGAGGTATTTGTGCCAACCCTACTCAGAGAATTTCTCATATGAAGTGAAAGGTCTGGTTGCTGAGAATGCTAGAGAATTTGACTTCTGACAGATGCACAGACAGACAGTAATTGGTGCTTTTCGGTTTTACTTTTCTTCACTCAGATCTACGGAACCCAGAGGCAGCACTATCCCCAGCTTTCCGCAGTGATAGTCCTGTGCCTCCTGCACCCCCTTCGGGTGGCCCCAAGTCCAGCACAGCTGCTGCAGTTCCTGAGTTAGCTACAGACCCCGAGTTAGAAAAGAAGTTGCTGCACCACCTGTCAGATCTGACCTTAACGTTGCCCACAGATGCCTTGTCCATCTGTCACGCCATCTCCACGGTAATGACCAGGAGAACCGGTAGCTACCACTTACTTTCTGTGCTTGGCCAGTGCGTTACTGCCTTCTTCTCCCTCCCTTCTCTAGCCAGATGCTCCTGCCACTCAAGAAGGAGTGGAAAGCCTTCTGCAGAAGTTCGCGGCTCAGGAGTTGATCGAGGTGAAGCGAGGGCTCCTGCAGGATGATGCGCATCCCACTCTTGTGACCTATGCTGACCACTCTAAGCTCTCTGCCATGATGGGCGCTGTGGCAGAGAAGAAAGGCGCTGGGGAGGCAGTGGGGACTGTTACAGGGCAGAAGCGGCGTGCAGAACAGGACCCAGCCACAGTAGCTGCCTTTGCCAGCTCTCTAGCCTCTGGTCTGGCCTCTTCAGTATCAGAACCAGCCAAGGAGCCAGCCAAGAAATCTAGGAAACATGCTGCCTCAGATGTTGACCTGGAGATAGAAAGCCTTCTGAACCAACAGTCTACAAAGGAACAACAGAGCAAGAAGGTGGGGACCATAGAAATACTCTGTGTGTGCTCCATATTGTAGCTGTGATTGAGAAGGATTTACCCTTAGGTAAAGAGCAGTTCTTAGAATTGAGGGTTTAGAGCGGTGGTTTTCAACTGAGCATGCCTGGGGCTGGGGATTTAGCTCAGTGGCAAAAGCACCTGCCTGGCAAGCGCAAGGTCATGAGTTCAGTTCCCGGTACCGGAGAAAAAACAAACAAACAAAAAATACAACTGAGCATGCCTTTGCCCCATACTTATGTTCATGTGAAGACATCTGGCAATGTCTGGAGGGATTTCTGTTGTCACAACATGGGAGTCCTGCTGGCAACTTGTAGGTAGAAGGCAGTGGTGTTGCTAAACATACTACCCTGCATAGGATAGCCCTCCACAATAAGGAACTGTCTGGTCCAAAATGTCAGTAATGCCAGTGTCAAGAAACGCTGATGGTCGGGCGTGGTGGCGCACACCTGTAATCCCAGCACTCAGGAGGCTGAGGCAGGAGGATCGTTGCAAGTTCGAGATCAGCCTGGGCTACAAAGTGAGCTCAAGGCCAGCCTGAACAGCATAGCGAGACCTTGTCTCAAAAAAGA